CTCCCATTATATTACAGTAACTTGATTTCCCCTTGGTGAATTATAAACCAGGCTGTCAATACCTAACACTCATTTTGCCTACTAGCCCAGTAGTATTAGGAATTTGAAATGGCCAGATGTGGTCTTAGCTTCCAATTCAATAGCAGCACTTCTGTGAAATCTCATGAAAGCATTTCTCCCTGGAGTACAAAAACAGGCAGCCTATAGAGACAGGAAGAAAATCATTTTTGAGAACTCTGTCAATAGAATTCTTTGGCCAGAGCAACATTATACAGGAAATTTCAGTAATATATACGTTCATAGTATTTAAAGGCTAGCATTTATAGCAGACCTTGCCAGGCAGAGGTCCCTAGGACAGATAAGTCCTCTTAAACAAATGAACTTTCTACTTTTGAGAAGCAGCTCTTTCTATTGGGCCTTTCAGAGCACAAATACCTGCTTTGGAACTCTGGGTAACCCTTGTGACCCAACTGTCCATTCTGAATGAAAATTTTTTTTTTTTTTTTAGGTTTTTGCTATAGGGCGCATGTGCTCACCAGACAGACAGAGAGACAAAAAGTGAGAAATTACCGCCCAGGTGGGATGGCCACGCTGCAATCCCTTCTCCTCCATTCTCCTCTCAGGATCTGGGCATGCACGCACATGTGCCTGGTGTGAGTTTTTTAAGCCACCGGGTCCAGGACGTGAACCGCGGTCGACTATGTGGGAGTCCAGCAACATAGTCATTACACTAACTGCTGGTCCCTCTGAATGAAATTTTATCTTATTGACCCAGTCATGAACATAACTCATGGATCCTCAACTATGGGCTTATTCACATTTTGGACTGGATTATTGTTTATCAGCAACCCTGGCCTCTGTCAACTAGTGAGTGATCAGTTAACATCAACAAATTATGACAATCAAAAACATCTCCAATCTTTGCTAGATATTTAGCTCAACTGCTAAATCTTGCCACTGGAAGAAAAACTGTCCTTGGTAACTATTGGCATAGATATGTCTTGTCTTTTTTTTTTTTTTTTTTTTTTTTTTGGGGGGGTTTTTTTTTTTAGCTATAGGGCGCATGAGCTCGCTCGACAGACAGAGAGATAGAAAGCGAGAAATCAGCCCCCCAGGGGGGGATGGCCATGCCGCAATCCCTTCTCCTCCATTCTCCTCTCAGGATCTTGGGCACGCACGCACATGCGCCCGGCGTTGAGTTTAAGCCACCGGAACCGGGACGCAAACCACGGTCGACTACGTGGGAGTCCAGCGACATAGCCATTAAGCTAACTGCTGGTCCCTAGATATGTCTTTTGAATCTCATCCTCCACAGTAAGTGTCCTGAGCCAGTTGTGAAGGCCCAAGTTTGACTAATGACATTTCCACACTTTCTCCTGGCATGCCACCTCTCTCCATTCATCCACAATTCTGGTCTCATATGAGTTTGATAATTTACCGCTGCTAGAGAATAATTCAAGCCTGATTTATAGTTCTGTATAGTATGTTAGTACCAGCTAAAAATGAGGTGGTGGTGCGGCATTAAACCCTCTGTTCATGGGAGACAGTAAAGGAGAGCAAAGAAAAATCCTAGGGAGAACTTGAAGCAGTTCATATTGTTTCCTTGGCTAGAAGAAATACAAGAATTATGAATGTTCATGGAGGATGAATTAGTTTGGCTGCAGTGTCAGGGGACTGTAAAAAAAGGAAATAAAAATAAAAGCTGGTTAGGAAGGAGTATATAGACGAGTCTCTTAAAATAGATCCAGAATGTGGGTCTGCAGGTGGTGGTGTTAAGGTGCTGGACTCACATATGACTAACCACAGTTTTGAGTCTCAGACCTGGCGACTTGCATTCTCACTTTTCTTCTCTAGTTAGTGTTCGTGCTCTATAGCAAATTAAGTAATAATCGGGACCAGCAGTTGGCTTAATGGCTATGTCACTAGACTCCCATGTAGTCAACCGCGGTTCGCGTCCTGGACCCGGTGGCTTAAAACTCACACCAGGCACGTGTGCGTGCGTGCCCAAGATCCCCAGAGGAGAATGGAGAAGGGATGGCAGCGTGGCCATCCCCCCTGGGGGGTGATTTCTTGCTGTCTCTTTGTCTCTCTCTGCCTGGCAAGCGCATGTGCCCTATGGCAAAAACCTCTCAAAAAAAAATAATAATAATAAATAAATAAAACTCTTAAAAATAGATCTAGAAAGAATATTTCTAAGCTATGCAAATATTCATAAGAGTCCTCACTGTGAAAGAAGCTCTGAAAATCAGGTAGACAAGATAACCTACACAGTAAATGTTTGTCTCCATCTGTCAAACCACCGGTTAGTGGAAGCAGAGTGCCAGGATGACAAAGGTAGTCATCAGATAAAACTGTTTTCAGAGGTTCTCTGGCTATTGCTGCCTTGCTCTCCCTGTGGCTCTTCCCCACAACCCCATTTTCTCTCCCACCCTGCTCCTCTGCCAAAAGCTTTTTTATCATATATTTTGGGAAATGAGCCAATAACCTGATAGCCAATGAACTGAATTGCAAGGGACAGCACTTAAGCAATTTGGCCTCAATGGTAATTGAGGACATAAATACCCTCTAAGATTGCTTTCTTTACCTCTGGCAGCACCACTATTTATGGACATACTGAGTAACATGTATTATCCTGACTTCCCACATCGACATTGTTCTAACCAAAGAACTTAATGCTTGGAAGGATGGTAAGACAAGGTGCTTAGTTCTTATATTGTTGACACCTCTTATGATGTACCTTATCAGCTATTATTTCCAAATACTGGAATAATCTACTGAAGCCTTATGAAGCCAGCTGAACACTAAAAGTGGAGACTTTCTGGAGGCAGTGCATTGTTTTTATCCAACACAAAAAAGTGGGTCACCATGTTAGGATACTTTAACTTTTATTTTTTTGGAGAGGTTTTTGCTATAGGGCGTGTGTGCTCTCCATAAAGACAGAGACAGAGAGACAGAAAGCAAGAAATCACCCCCCAGGGGGGATGGCCACGCCGCAATCCCTTCTCCCCCATTCTCCTCTTGGGATCTTGGGCACGCATGCACACGCACCCAGCCTGAGTTTAAGCCACCAGGTCCAGGACTCAAACCATGGTCAACTACATGGGAGTCCAGCGACATAGCCATTGTGCTAACTGTTGGTTCCAATTTTAACTTTTTAATACAGTTGTGGCTACACAAGCAAGGCAGCATAAAGAGGGAAAACAGGACTGGGTCTGTCCTAGCACTACCATATTCGGTGGCCAAAGAACCAGTGTTACCAGTAGCTGGGGATGACTGATGATTTCTGCTGTTCTTATCTTCTTGGGGGAAATAATTCAGTCAGGAGACAGGATTAAGCATGAACCAAGCGAGCAAAACCTTAGGCAAAAGTACACCAGTTATGGAGTAGGCTGACACCGACTGGGGCATAGCCTTCGATGCCATGTTGTGAATTCTTACTCAAGTGAGTATTTGCACCTATTTTCTTGGTTGCTGACCTGACCACACCTGAACCTGGTGGTTAGATCATACTTTGTCATAGCACTGCGAACGTCCCATTAGGTATCATGCACACTCACTCATTAATGCCACCACAGGAAGGTCATATATCTGTCACTTACACGCCTGCAAAGGCTCTGTAATATCCAGGTGGCTTATCCCTCAACCCCCTTTTGTCTTTTCAGGATGTTCTTGGTTACTTCCCTTTATCTGGGGCCCACAGAACTCTCTAGTCCCATCCCTGCTCGTGTCTGGCTATTTCCTCACATTAACATGAGGACTCAGATGGTGTTAGAAATAAAGCTTTGGTGGAACCAGCGCTTAGCGTAATGGCTATGTCGCTGAACTTCCATGTAGTCGACCTTGGTTCAAGTCCCGAACCTGGTGGCTTAAACTCACGCTGGGTGCACATGCGTGCGTGCCCAAGATCCCAAGAGGAGAATGGAGAAGGGACTGTGGCATGGCCATCTCCTCTGGGGGGTGATTTCTCGCTTTCTGTCTCTTTCTGATAAGTGCACGTGCCCCATAGCAACCCCCCTCCCCGGAAAAAAAAAAGCTTTGGTCTCTTTAACAGGTAAGAAACCTAATTAGCCAAGGTAGTAACAAAAGCATTGACTAATTTCCTGCTCAGTAATATACAGTATGCATTTTAACAAATTCCTTGTATCTTTCTTGTCCTCTTGTATCAACAAATATTAAAATGATTTTAATGTAATTTTCAGGTATTAATGAGAATATGGCACAATTAGAAAGGAAATAACCTGAACGTCCTGACCTTGGCAATGAATGTAGTAAAAGATGGCTGCATTATTATGTATGAGTAATTTTGGAAATTAAATATGAAACAAAGAGTATGTGTGTGGAAACTGATCAGTCAAGAGTGAACCGTAATGAACAGTTGTCTTTTTTGGTTGTTGATACCTATTTAACAACCTAAAAGAATTTTTAGGTGTTGCCTCAATTAAAGAAGCCAAAAGTAGGTTTGTGGCTTAAGCTTTACAATTCTGGTAGAAATACTTAAGCTATAGGACCAATATTTAGACATATATGTTAGGACTTCATGAAGTTCATGGAAAATACAATTAACATACAAGTTTGGGGCACCAACACATTTTTTTAAAATACTACATATTTTCCATGACCTTTCTGAAAATCTCTGGTACATATGTACACACACACGTACAAAGCATCAAAATACATTTTCTACTTAAGTAACAAAGTTTTGAAGTTAAAACAAACTAGTTCAAGCATTTCTACATACAAAAATTTCAGGTCTATATTTATTAAAAACAAAATCATTGATGCAAATTCTGTTCAAAAAACCATATATATATATACACCAAGATAAATATTTGAAATTGTGGACACAGAAACAGTAAACAGTTTCAAATTTCTTAACATTTAAATGACTTAAATAGCTTTCTTTTTTAAAAAAGTCTTTTTTGTTAAAAAATAAATTTACTTTAGTCAATGTATTTTTTCACTTTTTTAAAAAGACACATACCTGGCAAAAATGGCAGGTATTAGGCTTGCACCAGCTAAGAAATAACTTTTACAGTTGTCAAGATGCAGTAATTTTAAAAACATATAAATTGAATACATGGTAGGAAAATACATTAAAAAACACAAGAAACTATGCCCCTTAAAAAATATAAATGTACCTTCTATTGATTATATGAATATCAAAAACTAAATATTCTGTTTTAAAGAAGCTTCTATAAAATGTTGGAGGAATAGGCATTATTTGCTTCTCTAATGTAATGGATAAATAAAAAACACTTCTATTGCAATTAAAGAGTAAAATCAGTGTCTTAGAAAAATGTAGTATATACACAGAAAAGTAGGCATTGCTCAGTATTCAAGTTTCTGAGTTTGATTTTTTTTAGAATGTTTTCTATAATTTTAAGAACTACACACAAAAAAGTAAAAAGATGAGGTAAACATCTTATACTTTTAAGAAAGCACTTGAAACTTAATACTCAGATATTCCCAATGCCAAGACTCATTATTATAGAATGATGCTTTAAAAGGTCTTCTGTAATGATGATTATAACATGTATCTGAACCACATAAAAGCAGGTTTCTCAGTCTTCTAAGTAGACAATGATATTCTTTCTTGTTATTAGAAAGCAATCACGACTACATTTTGACGACGATATTACTCCAGTGTGGGATTACATGAAGCACCATGCTATGGTAAAAGCAGCTACAATGCCATTCAAAATCGCCATGCTATAGCCCATGTGGAAAGAATGTCCAGTCAATTTCCTAGAGAAAAAGAAAAAATACAAATCAAAAAAAGGAAGTGTATTTGGTATGATAGGCACACCAATAGTTTGTATTGAAAATGCGATGACCTGGAAATGTTTCCCAGAAGTTTACACATTAATACACATGTTAAAAATATAGTATTGGACATCTATCCCATGCTTCTTTACTGTTTCAGTCCTAGTGTGTCTCCATAACCTAAGATGTAACTATTATTATATCATAAATGTTTTTTTTTTTTAATTACCACAGTGTTTATCTGCTCTACTCTTCTCACTTGGATCTATCTTAAAATACACATTATTTAAAATATTTATCCTAATTATACCATTTTTAAATGTGGTAAAGAACTCTATTTTTTCTTGTTTTTTTTTTTTTTTTTAAGAGATTTTTGCTATAGGGCGCGTTCACTCGCCAGAGAAAGAGAGAGAGAGAGAGAGAGAGAGACAGAAAGCAAGAAATCATCCCCCAAGGGGGGATGGCCACGCCGCAATCCCTTCTCCTCCATTCTCCTCTCAGGATCTTGGGCACGCATGTAAACGCGCCCGGTGTGAGTTTAAGCCACCAGGTCCGGGATGTGAACTACGGTCGACTACGTGGGAGTCCAGTGACATGGCCATTACGCTAACTACTGGTCCTAGGAACTCTATTTTTTCTTTGAGTACAGGTCCATATGACTGGCAAAGCTAGATTTGTATATGTATATAAAAATAATAGACACTTCAATTCTCAATCTGACAGTTTACTTAATTGAAATGGTTTTCAATGAGACCATAACTACCTGCAAAGGCACATCTCTTATTCTATGATGACTACGAGAACCAACCTGCTTCAGTTTTGCTGTCACACAAGTTCTACTGAACATGATGTAATACATAAAACTAATTTCATATGTTTGGATTAACGGGCAAATATCTGTGATCCTTAGCTTGATACTCACTCATAATATGAAATGCAAAAGGCATTTGTCTATAACCAATTCTTTTTAGCTTTAATTTGTGTATGTGTGTAAAAATAAATCTATATTGGCCTTGCTCAAATTAAAAATTAAAACCTTTGGGTCAGCAGGTGACAAAGTGGTTAAAACTCTGGATTCCCACATGGCTGAGAGTAGTTCAAGTCCTAAATCCTGCAGCTTAAAAATCTCATCAGGCTGGGACCAGCAGATGGTGTAATGGCTATGTTGTCCGAGTCCTGGATCCAGTGGCTTAAACTCATGCTGGGTGCGTGTGCATGTGTGCTCAAGATCTCAAGAGGAGAATGGATTGCGGCATGGCCATCCCTCCTAGGGGGGCGGAGGTGATTTCTTGCTTTCTGTCTCTGCCTTTCTGTTGAGTGCATGTGTCCTATAGCTAAAACTTCTCAAAAAAAAAAAAAAATCTTATCAGGCATGTGCCAATGCATGTCCAAAACCTGGCGAGAATAGACAAGGGCTTGTGGCATGGCCATGCCCCATGGTGGGTGATTTCTCACTTTTCCTCTCACTGTCTCTCTCTGTTGCCCTCAGGCAAGTGCACACACCCCATGGAAAAAGCTCAAACAAAACAAAGAAACAAAAAACAAAAATGAAAATCTTACTGGTCTAAATCATCTGTGTATTGTTTTATTCAATTTCATCATGGAGTCTATTAGGGATTTTTACTGTTACAAGAATACTTTATAATGACCATTTATTTCCATTATCTAAGCGGGCATACATTGCTAGGGAAATGGTAACACAGTAGAAAGGTTTGATAAGATTGAATAGAGTATAGAGAATTTTTGCTCATTAGTTCTACAATTTCAAAAGAAATATATAAGGAAAAGGAAGGGAATAAATCCCACAAGAATGATAAGGCTGATCAGGAAGAACACTTTCCTTTAATATGTAATTTAAATAAAGTGAAGAGATTATCATTTCTTATATACCACACAATAAAGTCTAGCTTGGAAACTTAATCACATAACAAATTTACACCCAAAATAAGTAAAACTACAGCATTATTTATTACCAATACTGCCTAACCTGAAAAAGTAGGTAGATAATACCCAGCCCTGCCAAGCTAATCTGATATTCTTTTTATGCCATGTATATTTCTAATCTGGACTACACTACTAGAACAGGTGGGAAGAAAAATAAAAAATAAAAAATAATCCCACAATCTCACAGCAATACAATGGAAATGTTTAAGTCTGAAGGCCTTACATTTTATTTCAAAATTTACAAGATTTTTTTCATCTTATTTTATTTCAAGTTCTTTTTATATATTCAATGTAATTTAATTTGCAAAGTGACTATTCCAACATGTTTACATTTCTCCCTAGTCCTTAGGCAGGTCTTATAGCTTAGTAGCTAAAGGAGCTAAATTCTACATGGCTGACAGGTTTTAATTCGGTCCCAACAACTTGGAATACATGCCAGGCCTTTGTACATGCATTCCCAAAAACCTCAATGGTATGAAGGAACAGAGGAGAAAGGACTGCGGTGTTACCATGTTCCACTGAGGGATGACTTCTCTATCTCTCTGGAGCTAAAGGGCCCTTTGACAAATAAAAAAAAATTCTTGTTGAATGAAACTGCATATTAACTTAGTCTATTTTACCTACATAATAGTCTATACAGTTGCAAAATATATACAGAATATAAGACATGTTAACTTTATTCACAAGTGTGTCATGGTAGAATTTTGCTTGAAGACAACTGTTTGTGTTAGGCACTACTTTCATTTGATAAATGTCCTTACTGACTAGGAAGCCAGAGAAAACTTACAAAAAAAAATGGGATTTTGGAGCCAGCAGTTAGCATAATGGCTATGTCGCTGGATTCCCATGTAGTCAACCGCGGTTCGAGTCCTGGACCTAGAGGCTTAAATTCATGCCGGGTGCGTTTGTGTGCATGCCCAAGATCATGAGAGGAGAACGGAGGAGAAGGGATTGCAGTGTGGCCATTACCCCCGGAGGGGGGGGTGATTTCTCGCTTTCTGTTTCTCTCTCTCTGTCTTTCTGGCGAGTGCACGGGCTCTATAGCAAAAAACCCCTCCAAAAAAAGGAAAAAAAAAAAAAAAAAAAGGGATTCCCAAGCCTCAAGATTTCATGTTATTGGGGTCAGCAAGTGGTGTGGTGGTTAAGTGCGCTGGACTCCCACATGGGGGTGACTGTGGTCCAAGTCCTGGACCTGGTGGCTTTCTTTTTCACTTTTCCTCTCCCTCTTGTTCTATCCCCTCTCTGGTCAAATTTAATTAATTAAATAGATAGATAGATAGATAAACAAACAAACAAACCATTTCTTGTCATTAGAAAAAAAAAGAATATCTTGGGAACCAGCAGTTAGCGTAACGGCTATGTCGCTGGACTCCCACATAGTCGACTGCGGTTTGCGTCCCGGACCCAGTGGCTTAAAACTCACGCCGGGCACGTGTGCGTGCGTGCCCAAGATCCCGAGAGGAGAATGGAGGAGAAGGGACTGCGTTGTGACCATCCCCCCGGGGGATGATTTCTCGCTTTCTGTCTTTATGTCTCTGTCTGGCGAGCGAGCGCACGTGCCCTATAGTGAAAATCTCTCCAAAAAAAAAACCCAAAAAACGCCAAAAAAACATCTTCATATCAAAAGACCAGGAAGGGAAAAAAATAGAAAGGATAAAATTTCAGAATAAATAACAATTACTCAAGAAAAGATAATTGGCAAGCATGGTAGGCCAAGTTTAAGCCTTTCAGCTTGATATTTTCAAGCAAAGAACAGCTCTGGCAGGCAAAACATCTACCTCATTTGACGTATCTGTTGCTTTAACTATGAACTTATTGCCTATAAGGGCAAACAGCATTGCTTTTATCCCATTTTAGGGATGAGAAAATAAGGACTCAGAGACGCTAACTGTCCTGCTCAAACATCCTTCTGCTAGTATATGGAGTAGACTGGATTTGCAAGTCACCTCTTTTGACTTAAAAGACTATACCATGTTGCCTCCCATTATTTACAAAGATTGTTGAACACACAGAAAGGATTCTAAGTACAAAATGGCAAGTATTTATCAGTGTTACTCTGTGCCTATAGACACCTGTGCATTTCAAGTAACCTATACACAATGCACATTGTAAAAAGTATATAATTACAAGGAGGCACAAAGCAAAAATTCATTAGCTGTATCACTATAAAAACAAGGAAATAGGGACCAGCACATGGAGTAATGGTTACATCATCAGACTTTCATGTAGTCAACTGTCGTTTGATTCCTGGACCCAGTGGTTTAAACTCATGTCAGATACGTGTGTGTACATATGTATCCAAAATCCTGAGAGGAGTATGGAGGAGAAGGGTCTGTGGTGTGGCTATACCCCTAAGGGGTGATTTCTCGCTTTCTGTCTCTTTCCAGCAAGCGTACTCACCCTATAGCAAAAATATCTCTCAAAAAAAACCAGACAAAACCAAAAAGAACAAAAAAATAGATTTCTCAGAGGATTTTATTACATCTATGTATGTCTCCACTTAGAACACTAAAGCAATATATTTTGTGACATGAATGTATTATTATCATTATTATTTTGGTTAGTTTTTTTGTTATAGAGTATATGAGCTCACCGGAAGTTAAGAAATGACCATTCCAAAAAAATGGCCACGCAACAAGCCTTCCTCCTCCAGCCTCCTCTGAAATTTGGGCATATACACACATGTGCTTGGCTTCATCAAGCCATTAGGTCTGGGACTTGAGTCGAAGTCAGTCATGTGGAATCCAGTGCCTTAACCTTCACCCACCTGCTGGCCTAACTGCATGTATTTTAACCCTTACTTCAAGAAGCTGCAGTGTAGTGCCATGGATACATTCATTAATAGATAGGAATGTAACTGCTAGCTCCAAACAGTCCCTAGATAATTAAACTTCATGATACTCAAATAGCAGGCCAAGTTCTTGATCTGTCTCTTTTGTCAGTAGTTTTCTCTCCTACTGTAATTAGCCATCTGACATCTGTTTCATTAGTTCACTGCAATAAAGAATCTGATTTGACAAAGAAGCAGCTCTTCAAAA